AAAAATCTGTCTGACACTGAAAATCCGTTGTATTGTAAAATTTGTTATATCAAAATTCGTTGTAGAAAGAGTTGACTATAATTGTTAATATTAATACTTGGTCATAATATTTTAATATTTAATGATTGTATAATAATTTATTATATTATTAAATTTTCTTAATAAGATAAATCTAATAATAATTATTTAATAAATTAATTAAATTATTAAATTATTAATTACAAATTTTTAGATTATTAAATCAATTTTTAATTTAATATAAAATTAAATATCAAATTATTAAAAATCTTATTTAATAATTAAACTTTCATAATTTTTAATTAAATATATTAATATTTTAATAATTTAAAATATATAGAATTTAAAACTTAAATATGTTAATAAAATTAATAAATTATTATTTATATTAAGAATAATAATATATAAAATTTAATAAAACTTTAATTTATAATACGCTAAGTTACTAGTAAATTAAATTAATATTATAAACAAATTATTAGATTAAATATTAACATTATAAAATATAATTTTTAAAAAAAAATAACTTTATAATAATCAATTATATTTTATAATATATTATATAAAATAAAAAATATATTATTTAAAGTAAATTTTAGTATAAAAAGTTGTACATTTTTAAATTCCTTATTATTCCTTACTTGTGAATACAAAAAAAAGTATTAATTTTTTAATAAAATATAAAATATTAATATTAATAATATAATTATTATATAAAAAACATAGTTAATATATATTTTATCAACTTTTTTAAATTAAGTTTATTAAGAAGATTTTTTAAATAATTAAATTTTAAAATTAAGTTTTAAAATATTTATAATAATAATTTTTTAAAAATTTTCTTTAAAATTCATATGTTTACGAATTAATTGAATCATTTTACTATTAAAAATGTTAAAAATAAAGATATTAATTAGAATTTTTATAACAACTTATATATTTATCTATTAAAAGAATTTTTAACTATATGGGACCTTTGCAATAGAAAGGGGGAAAACAGCCGGAAAAATCAATTTTACTTTTATATGCAAAATATGATTTTTAAGTCAAAATATGTTCAGATTTAACATTAACTCAATTTTTATTTTTTTCAGCCGTTTCCCCTTTTTCTATTGCAAAGGTCCCATATATAGGACCTTTGCAATAGAAACTGCCGGAAAAAATCAAATTTACTTTTTATATACCAAATATGGTTTTTAGGTCAAAATATGTTAAGATTTAGCAATAACTCATTTTTGACAAAGGTAATGATAGGCTAAATCTAATTGATCGTCATTATGAATTGGTTGAAATAAAATATTATTCACTTTTTTTTTGCTGAAATATAACAGATATTTATAATATTTTCTAGAAGGACTGCAATTACGCATTATGTCACGCGTTTGGTGGCTTAGAATGACAATAACATATGATTGAACTTTCGGTCTATATACAGTATATTACATAAAGATGATATATGATTACACATTTGACTAATACAAGCGATTAATTCGACGAAATACGGATTTTTTATTTTATTTTTGATTGACTTTGCAATCGATCTAAGAAAACATTATTCCGCTTTCGGGTGCACCAATATCATCAATTGCAAGATGTAAGGTTCTTTACTACAAATTATTATCGAACATATAATTCGATGATCATTTCTTTCTAAGAATTCTGTGCTAATTTATTAATTTGCCTGAAATTGGTAAACGTTGATAAAAAAGAGACATTTCCTTTAAGAAATTTATCATGGCTTCAAGTTTGACCACGGTTGTTCAAAATGCTCGTAAACTCCATACAGCCACCGTATTTTTTCTACACGTAGGAAATTAACAAAATTGTTTTTATTTAAAACTTTTTTCTTTTACCTCAATGTTACTGTCACTCATTCTCAGGGCTTGGGTGATAGCGGATACGGCTGGGCTCCAGAGACGGAAAAAATGGGGAAAGCATTGGAACACGTCAAAATCATTCTTCCAAATGCGTAAGAAATCAAATGATTCGCTTTTATAAATTCTCACTTTTTCCTCTAAAACTCTCGCTTTTGTTTAGTCCCGTACAACCAGTAACAATTAATTCTGGCATGGAAATGCCATCATGGTATTTGAATTTTTACTCGAATTGAATTTAACATTTGTTATGTATATAAATTATTTATCTTGCGTTTATCTTTAAGGTATGATATTTATGCATTAGGGGATACCGAAGATATCCTTAAGGATCGAGTAGATGAGGAAGGAGTATTATCGTCAGTCGTCTCAGGTAGGTGATGTGCATTCAATTTACATAAATGACATCACAGGATCATTGATTTTTTTAAAAATTAAATATAGTAAATCGTCTTATACGTAATGAAATTGATGCTGGCATTCATTCAAATCGAATTGTCGTTGGAGGTTTCTCACAGGGAGCAGCTATTGGGATCACTGTTGGGATATCATCCGAATATCCATTGGGTGGAATTATAGGGTAATGTTTTAAGAATTTTCACTTTATAAATTTATTTTAATTACCAACGTAATTATTTATTATTAATAGTTTAAGTGGATATCTCCCTTTAAAAGAGAAAACATTAACGGTACGATCATTATCCTTTTTTATCATGAGATTTAATTCTTAAATTTATAATCAATCATTATTTATACAGATGGCCACGGATGCAAATAAGAATACACCCATTTTCATGGGTCATGGTATTTATGATCAGGTATTTTATTTTTGATCTGTGATTCAATTCGATTTTTTTTTTTTTTTTGTTGATGGTTTTTTGCTGATTCGACTGATTCAACTTTATTTTTCAAGGTTGTGCCTTTTCGACTTGGGAAGTTGTCACATGACCTAATTAAATCAAAAGGATATCCTATAACATTCAAAACTTATAATATTCAACATTCATCATCTCCGGAAGAAACTGAAGATGTTATTAAATTCTTGCAACAAGTTATTCCTGAAAATTTCTAATCTATTTAATTTTTTTTTAATAAAATTTCATTAGTAACGATAATTTCACAGATAATAGACCAACATACTCTTAATGTCAATAATGATGTATGAATGAATAACCCGATGGCATGAAGTCTTAAAGTGTAACCTGAAAAACTTGTGTTAGTCTGTTAAAAAATCACATGCTCGTAATATTAACTATCAAAGTAATTAACTCTTCACATTTTATAGGTATCCTCACACATATACGTCGTCTCACTAATTGGCACTTTACTTGTAGTATATAAAGTTTGAATCATTGATTTTGAAGTAATAATGGTTTTATGGACAGATAAATTGCTTCTAACTTATCCAATGATCTCTTAGCCTTTAGTCTTTTTTTTTCGATTTTTTATTTATCAACCCTTCTTACAAAGTCTACAATTATGGCATGTTCAGGATTCACGGGAAACAAATGCATATTCAAGCTCAAATATCATTACCTGAAATGCACCCAATTTACCCACATCACAATTCATTTTTATGTTGCATTGCCTTAAATACATAAAGAATCAAAAAAATCTATAAAATATCATAATACGAAAATATAACTTTTACATCATATGGGAAAAAATAAAAAATGAGTTAATGCTAAATCTGAACATATTTTGGTCTAAAAAGGCATATTTGGCATATAAAAGTAAAATAGATTTTTTCCGGTATATTATATGCAAAAGATTCACACAATCATAACCAATACTTTTTTTTTTTTTTTTTTTCATTTTAAATAATGTCTGATAATGAACAAGACGCGTCTTTTGAACGGTAAATTAATTTTATAAACTCTCAACCCATTCAACTAAAAATAAAAATAAAAAAATTTTCACTTTTTTTAGCACAAATGCGAATATTTTGATAACAGGAACCCCGGGAACGGGTAAATCAACTTTAGCAGAGCTAGTCTCGGAAGCAACCGGTCTAAACTATATAAATGTGGGTGAGTTGGTAAAAGAGAAAGGGTTACATGAAGGTTTTGACCAGGAGTTTCAGAGTTACATTTTAGATGATGACAAGGTAATTTTAAGGGAGTTCACAAGTATCAATTTATTCTTATCCTCCTTTAATAAAGTTTAATGATTTCTTTTTTTAAAAAGGTCATTGATGAGTTAGAACAAGTCGTGTCAAAGGGTGGTAATATAATCGATTTTCATTCTTGCGATCTATTTCCGGAACGTTGGTTTGATTTGGTTTTGGTATTGAGAACTGACAACACTATCTTATACAATCGTTTGGAAAAACGGTATGTATCATCATCATTAGAATTCATTTATATTTTAATGATAAAAATTTTCAAATTTTCTTTTAAAATTTATTTAATAGAGGATATTCTCAAAAAAAAATCACGGAAAATATTGAAAGTGAAATCTTTCAAGTAATATTAGAAGAAGCAAGAGAATCATATTCTAATGAAATTGTTGTGGAATTACAAAGTAATACAATACAAGATATGGAAAGTAACGCGTCAAGGATTGAACAATGGGTTGATGATTACAAGGCAAAAAATTAATTAGCATAAAAATAAAGCATATTTATTATATTACTGAACTAGATTTTGTTAAATGCAAATATTCTAAAAATGAATTAATTAAATTAATTATTAAAATTCTAATGATTAGTTGCCTTTAATAGTACAGATAATAATTGACCTAATATAATATGTATGATCTTATAACAATAAAAAAAGTACAAATCATATTGTTCTATAATCACGCTCCTCTTAAGAACCCATACCAACCCCAAAATGCCCACCATAATGTCTGTAAATTAGTCCAAATAGCCAAATTCCCATATTGTTTTGCCAAATTTATCAAAGACGATCCCCTCCACAACCAAAGTGCAAATCCCAAAATCAAAATCGGAAATCTTCTCTTCCACTTTCTTTCCCCTGTAATTATCATAAACCAGATTATAACGACTCCAACCGACAAAAACAATTGATCCTCTAATGCATATCGCCATGTATCAAAAATTGGAAGCCATTGAGAGTTGGAATTAAGTTGAATTCCAAATAACCAAAATACTCCAGTTCCATCATTTCCTTCTTCGGCAGCTGACGGTATCATGTCTCCCCTAAACCACGGGAGAGTGATCGATGATAAAAGGTAGAAATAAAGAGTATAAAAAAACATAGGCTGTGATATTAAAAGAAATGTCCTTCTAAAATAAGATTGAACAAAAGTTTTCGGGGAATTATGTAATGATATGAGAAGTGGATGGCGTGGGTGGAATTCAAGATAAAGCTTTGTAAAAAGCATGTTTAAAGTTATAAACAAATATCCAAGAATATAAACGGTTCGAATCTATGTAGTAAGATTTTTAAAAATTAAGTAAATGGCAATAATAACCGGTACGAACTTTATATTAGAAACTTACCACAAGAACCCAATCGAGACCGATCAAGAATTCACTTATACCACCTCTCATAGCACTTCTTTCACCATCAACACGGAATATCACTTTGCTTTCTCCTTCTTGTCCTATTATATCACGTGCTTTCACAATAATGTGGTGTTCTTGTTCATCATCAAATTGTTTTGGATTCCAAGGCGATACCCAAAGTGGGATGCGATCAACTTTATTTTCTTTCGAATTGCCTTTGTAAATCACCTGTTCATGATGTCTTTTTCCATCCAAAAATATCTCAATCTCTTTGATGTCATGATCTGACCACACCAAAAATCTTATATGCGTACTTTCTTTGATTAAATGTACTGGTTCATGATATTTCATTAAATATCTTGAATCCTTTGGATTTGTTACTAATATTACCGGAGGAAATGCTAATTTTTCTGGCAACACAGAAAATCCTGGTGCAGGCGATGGTGGTACCTTCAAGGGAATTTCATGTAATGGCAATGCTACGTCTGTAAAACTTACAAGGTCATGATCAATCGCAAGGATACGATATATAGCGTTAACCTTCATATCTGCCAATTCCAACTCTATAAAATGAGTTGGTTGATATGTTTGTAATTGATTTCCCAAACCTACAAGGGTTAGGAAAGATAATAAGAAATTCGCTTGATAGGATAAACATAAATAAATTACAGATCAGACAATCTAATTAAAATCGCCTACCCCAAGCTAGTTTATGTAAATGACCGCACATATAAACACTAATGTACTTTGATATATCGTCAAATGTTTCACCTTTTGAGGTTTTTCCATATAAAGTTGTCGCTGTTGGATAATGTGCAAGCTAATAAAAAGATTTTTTTTTTTATTTTTATGTTTTTATAAAGTATAAGATATAAAACCAATTTTATACATTATTATTACTTACGAGGAATGTGTGATTTGAAGGTAATGAAGCGTTAGATAACGTGTCAGCCAGTCTATTCATATCTTCTGTCTCATAATATCCAAAGAAGTTAAAAGGTCGAGCTACACCTGCCTTGGGACTTTGAATAACATACACGATAAAAAAAAAAAATAATTAAATAAAAGTAAAGGTTAATTTAATATGGGAATTGCAATGAAAATCAGGTTCTGAGAAAATTTTTAACTAAAATTACCCAGAACCCGATCTTCCTAATCCTTCCATATATACATAATGCAGGTATTTACCAAGCATCGATTCCGACAAATCTATAACGACCAAAATTCTTTTCAAACATAAAATCAAATCCTCGCTGTTTTCCTACGCCAAACGTTTTATACATGTTTTGTTCACTTTCCCATGATCCTACGTTGAAACAATCATGATTTCCACGTAGATCATGCCAAAATCCTGGACGATTAAGAACACCTGATTCCTATAAAATTTATCAATGATGCTTAAATTTGATGGATCGACAAAAGCTACGTTAAAATAGGTTAATTACCTGCAATGCGGTTTGATATGTAACCCATTCATCAATGTATTGTTGGGAAGTTATCAAATTTTCATCTTTGGCGTCAGTCAAGTCACCTGTGACTAAAACGAATGCAGGTGAAGAAATCACGCTAAGTACCGTCGCGAGAAAATGTAAGAAATGCGAGGTACCGCCAGTTTTCTGAAATTTCGATATGTGCAAGTCGGTAATCTAATAAAGAACATGATTAGAATGATCTAATTTCGGAGAGATTTTCTTAAAACTACATCAGGAGTAAAGAATAATAATACCTGCATAAAATAAAATATATTGTTGGGACTATCACCCAAAGTGTTATTATTAACCCTTTGTAAAACAGGGTCACCACTTGTCAAAGGTGAAACATGTAAAGGCTTTTCATTTTCAGTTGCAAAAAGTGAAAAATTTGCTTCTTTATATACGTAATATGCGCGAAGCCAACAGAATAATGTCAAAGGAATCAATAAAACAGTTACGATAGAACTACGCATTATTTAAATGAACTTTATTCCCCATTAGTGGGTTTTTATATAATAAATTAGGAACGCTCCTTATGTGACTTTGTAAATAAATATTTTAAGGGATCAAAAAAAAAATTTAGGTTACATATATTACTAAATAAGGTATTAATTATATTATGAGTATTACAGTATTTTTGAAATTGTCTTTATTAAGAAATCGTCTTCAACGTTCATATGATCTTTGCATAAATAATTAAAGCGATATAAGAAAACCCATATCATTTTAAAAAATTTAAATTCGATGTTTTTCATTTTCAAGGTAATTGAATCGATCTTCTTGTGCAACTCCTTGCGGTGATTAAGGATGAATTCTGCGTGTGATAAAAGTTAATTCTGTGAAATTCTGTGATTTGGCCAGAATTATGCAAGATCAGCCAACAT